AAAACTCACTGCTCTCCTGTTCAATGAAACAGGTAGTCCTGCAACTGCTTATCTGGGGCAGAGCTGTGAACACTACGTGATACACAAACAAGCAGACAAAAAGACCTCTTACCAATGCAAACAAGCCTGTGGTGTCTCTTTACATTCACTAATTTATTTCTAAACATTTTAAGCCATTCACTTTCTGCAGTAGGCAAGCCCTGACACACTTATCCTGCCATAAAAATACCCCCCGCTGCTTGCAAGCAGCAAAGGAGCCCTGTGCAGACTGCTCGGACAGCCCCTCGCCCAGCGCTGCGTGCTGTCAGAGGGGGCAAGAGAAGCGACATCCCCGCTGCTGAGCTCCCAGCTCTGCGCTACCCCTGCGCTCTACATCCCGCCAGGGCCTCAGCCCTCCCTCAGGCTGGCAGCAGCGCCCTGCTCCCTGCAGCCCCTGCAGCAGTGGGGCAGGGGGTGCATTGGGGCGCTCGTGCGGCCTGGCTGCTGCATGGAAGGGAAGGAGCTCCTAGGACAGAGGAAGGGCTCCCGAAACGGAGGGAGCAAGGGAGGTCTGGACTGCAAAACGGTGCGTGGGACCTGTCCTTGGGGCAGGAGGACCAAGGTCCTGCCTTGCCCCAGCTGCAGCCAGATCAGCCCCAATCCAAGGGGCCGCAGGCGGCTCCCATCCTCCGCTCCATGCGCCCCTGCCCTCGAGGAACCGAACCCGGCTCGGGCGGCTTTCCCCGCGCCGGGGCAGGCGCTGAGCCCGCGGGAGCCCGGGCTGCCTCTCACCGGCGCGCCGGGGCTTGGCTCTGCAGCCACGAGCAGCGATGGGAGCCCTGATTCCGCTTCTCCGCGGGGTGCTCCCCCAACCTAAGCGCTGCGGACAGAGCCCCGCTGGGCAGACCTGGGCTCTGCTTCTCTTCTGCGGTGGGTGCGGGTTCAGCGCTGGCTTTTTTGCGCCCTTTCCCTGGAAAGCGGTTATCCTGGGACAGTAACGCCAAAGAGAGCCGGCGAAATTATCAACGGCCGTTTACGCTAAACAAAAGGCGCCCGGGGAGAGGGATCCTTCCCCACCCTGGGCGGGGGACGCCCAAGTTTCGGTCGCCAAGGCGGGAGGATGAAGCGCGAGCGGAGCTTTGAACGGGCGCTCGTTACGGAGCCGCGAAGCCGCCCAGGAGGGCGCAGAAGGGGCCGCCCGCCCGCGCGCAGGTGGGCGCCGGTCCCGCCGCCCCGGGCAAGCGGGGCCGCTGCCCGGAGCCCG